GACAATTCAATAAAGTCCCCCCCCACCAAAAAAAGGAGCAGTGATGCACCAGGACTGGCACCTTGGCACTATGTCCACAGCAAACACTAGCAACTGTGCTGGTGTGAATCAGCCATAAGCATATCACATTTTAAACAGACAGAACACATCCTGACTATAAGCAGCCATTACAACACTTAGGCCCCTTTCACTCGGATGTTCCGTTTTTTTTTTTCATCAGTTAAGTCACATTTTTCTAAGAAAAAATGGATCAGTTCACATCAGTTTACATCAGTTTTTTTCATCAATTCACATTAGTTTGTCATCAATTTACATTTGTTTTTCATCAGTTTACATTTGTTTTCATCTGTTTTCATCTGTTTTTTGTCCATTTACATCCGTTTTCATCCTTTTTTTTGTCCATCTACATCCATTTTCATCCATTTTCATCCGTTTACATCCGTTTTTTTGCCCGTTTACATCCGTTTTTTCATTCATTATACATTCCGTTTTTTTAAAATGAGTAACTGTCGCTGAGAATGTAAACCAACTCTGTGTATAAAGGGCCCCCCAAACCTTAAGTGCCCCAGGCCCCTAAAAATCTAAATCTGGCCCTACTTCCAGCAGTACCTTTCTTTGGAAAGATAGTAAATAGTACTTACATGGACAGTATAGCAAAAAGCAGCAGCCTTTGTCATCAAACATTACTGTTGGGTTGTCACAGGTGGGTTTTTCTTGGTAGGGACACTGGAGGTCTGTCAAATTAACCATCCCGGGTACTGAACAGTTAATCATTTGACAGGGAGAGACAGTCTAAAATTAGAAAAAAAAAGCTGCAATTAAGGAATGCAAACGTGTTTACAATTATGTATACTTAAAACACACATGCTATTCATGAAATTAACAAAAATAAAAAAAAATACAATAACAAATATATAAAGGAAATTATACAACAGTTGTCTATGTTACCCAGTAGGGATGAACTTAGTGTTCGGTAATAGTGTATATGGCTTATATATAAATATGGCTATATTTGCCTATTATATACACTGCTCAAAAAAATTACAGGAACACTTTGAAAACACATCAGATCTCAATAGGGGAAAATATCATGCTGGATAACTATACTAATATGGACTGGGTAATGTGTTGGGAATGTAAGGATGCCCCATCGTTTGATGGAAATGAAAACGATCAATCTACAGAGGACTGAATTCCAAGACACCATGAAAATCAAAGTGAAAAAATTATGCAGCAGGCTGAAATTTAACTGCAGCAACTTAAAATGGTACTCAGTAGTTTGTATGGCCCCCACATGCTTGTATGCATGCCTGACAACGTCTGGCATGCTCCTAATGAGACGACAGATGGTGTCCTTGGGTATTTTCTCCCAGATCTGGTCCAGGGCATCACTGAGCTTCTGGACAGTCTGAGGTGCAACCTGGCGGCATCAGATGGACAGAAACATGATATCCCAGAGGTGTTCTATTGGATTTAAGTTGGGCGAGTGTGGGGGACATTTAATATCAATTGTCCTCCAGAAACTGACTGCATGATCTCGCCACATGGGGCCAGGCATTGTCGTGCACCAGGAAGAACCCAGGACCCACTGCACCAGTGCAGGGTCTGACAATGGGTCCAAGGATTTCATCCTGATACCGAATGGCAGTCAGGGTTCTTTTGTCTAGCACGTAGAGGCCTATGCATCCCTCCATAGATATGCCTCCCCAGAACATCACTGACCCACCACCAAAACGGTCATGATGGACAATGTTACACGGCATGACCCTTTCACATGTGTGACAAGTGCTCAGGGTGAACCTGTTCTCATCTGTGAAAAGTACAGGACACCAGTGGCGGACCTGCCAATTCTGGTGTTCAATGGCAAATGTCAATCTAGCTCTATGGTGCCGGGCAGTGAGCACAGGACCCATTATAGGACGTCTGGCCCTCATGAAGTCTGTTTCTGACTGTTGTGAATGTCAGAGACATTCACACCAGTGGCCTGCTGGAGGTCATTTTGTACGGCTCTGACAGTGCTCATCCTGTTCCTTCTCGCAAAAAAGGAACAGATACCAGTCCTGCTGATGGGTTAAGGACCTTCTGTGGCCCTGTCCAGCTCTCCTAGATTAACTGCCTGTCTCCTGGAATCTCCTCCATGCTTTTGCAACTGTGCTGGGAGACACAGCAAACCTTCTGGCAATGGCACGCAATTGATGTGCCATCCTGGAGGAGTTGGACTGCCTGTGCAACCTCTGTAGGGTCCAGATATCGCCTCATGCTACCAGTAGTGGCACTGACCCTAGCCAAATGCAAAACTAGTGAAAAACAGTCAGAAAAGACGAGTAGGGAAAAAAATGTCAGTGGCCTCCACCTGTGAAAATATTCCTGTTTTGGAGGCCGTCTCATTGTTGCCCATCTAGTGCACCTATTGTTAATTTCATTAACACCAAAGCAGCTGAAGCTGATTAACAAAGCCCTCTGCTACTTACCTGACCAGATCAATATCCCAGGAGATTAATTGACTTGATGCTACACTCTGATTAAAAAGTGTTCCTTTAATTTTTTTGAGCAGTGTATATAAATATGTGACTAGACTCGAGAAGTGTATAAGCTACAAAAGTCTCTATTTACAACACAGTCTCAGAAAAAAAAAGTTATAAATAAACGTGCACCCCAGATATTTTTGTCTCATTATACTTCAAAAGCATTTGTTCGTTGAAGAATTTTGTTTTGTCATATTCATTATCTTGAACTATTTGTTTTTGGAATTCATTTCATATCTCCGGCATTCGTTTTCTGCATTTGTTAATCCAAGTGCATCTGAAAAATTTAGCAGTCTTTCCAAAAGAATGCTATTTATTCAATATATTATCGAATTGGATGGATTCAATAATTTTGGACGCTAGTCCAACTCGCCAAGAAAAATGGCATTATCTGATTGGACAAAATGGACTGCATTATGTGCATCCAAATTTGGATTAATTCGTTTTCCATATCCAAATTATCAAATTAATTTGAAAATTGATTTCCTGGTGGTCCCGAACTACTATCGCATCATGTGACATCATCCGAATGAAATAAACAATTTCATTAATGTTGCTATAACTTTTTTAGAATTTGTTGCCACTTGTTTATGTGTCCATTCGGAGATTTGGATACATTTGAATATCTGAAAACAAAATTTTCGTCCAAAAAAAACTAATCAAAATGAAACTAATCACATATGTCTAGTTAGAAAACACAAGTGTGTTTATAATTACTTTCATGAAATAAATCCATTCTTCATTGGTATAAAGCTCCATGGGGGAAATTCAGTAAAGCTGCTGCAACACTTTTGCTGATGATCTCTCTTGTTAATGTATTGTGCCAAATTCATGAAGCATTGGTGACACTTTTGGTTCTGACATCAATTTGTGCACCTAATTCAGGAAGTTCTAAAATATGCCTCTATTACATTGTGTTGCAATGAATGCACCAAATGTAAAAGTGGAGATAATTAAGACCAACTATCTTTGGCGTAAAGAGAAAAACTGGCTCAGATTTTGCTAAAGTGCATTCTAAAAGTGGCGCAGCATTGCGAATATCAAGTACCAGTACTACACAGGTATTTTAGAATGCATGAGAGACACTTCTGCAAAATCTGCTTGCACCAGTCTTTATACATTCCAGGGCGTGTGTTCTTCCACCACATCAACAAACACACATCCAGTTGGGCCTCTTGGAACAGGAAGGTCTAAAAGCATTTTAGAATACAATTTCACATTTATAGGCTTATTATGATCTGTTCAATCAGAAATAAGATTTTTTTAAAAAATTGAATGTATACACAAAGCTGTATTTACTATAATGGCACTAGGATAGTGCCTAGGGCAGCACGCTTAGAAGAGGAGGCACCAATCCTCCGTATTTACAAACTGTGATAGATTTTTCCTGTTTTTATGACCACTACTGCTGTTTATGTGGCTAGTTTCAGCAAGAAACCTACATGGAGAAATAGGTGCAAGGGATGTTGAGGGAAGTTGTAAGCCTTTTTTACAGTTCAGAAAGCATCAAAACATTTCCCTTTCGTTTGCTTAACTGTACAGTTAAAATGTAGCTGGTTACATAATTTAGACAGCATGCCGCCTCCAATAGTGTGTTCTAGCTTTAGTATTTACTAAAATAATCATATGACATAAAGAGCAAGGCTGTGCAGGGCAGCATGTCATCTAAATCTAGGAACCAGCAAACACAAATGCTCCTGCGCTTGGGGATGGAATTGATGCAGGCTACAACCACATTAACAATGTCCTGGAACATGCACACCTTGCTGCCCTCAAATAGACTGGGGAAATCCATATATACTGAATGAGGAAAGAACAAACAGAGGGCACACAGGCCTAGTGCATTACCATAAAAAATGTTTAACCACAAGCCTACAGGGCACTTCTACCCCCTTCCTGCCCAGGCCAATTTCCAGCTTTCAGCACTGTTGCACTTTGAATGAAAATTGCGTGGTAATGCAACACTGTACCCATATGAAATTTTTTATCTTTTTTTGTGACAGAGCTTTATTTCGGTGGTATTTAATCACCTCTGGGTTTTTTATTTTTTCCTAAATAAACCAAAAACCACTGAAAATTAAAAAAAAAAGTATTTTCTTAGTTTTTGTTATAAAATTTGTAAAGAAGTGATTTTTTCTCCTTCACTGATGTGCGCTAATGAGGCTGCAGTGATGGACACTGATAGGCAGCACTGATGGACACTGATAGGTGGCACTGATGGGCACTGATGAGGAGGCACTGGAGTGGCACTGATGGGCATTGACAGGCATCACTGATGGGCACTGAAAGGCAGCACTCATATATGGCACTGATAGGCAGCACTGGTAGGTTGCACTGATGGGCGGCACTGACTGGCACTGTTAGGTGGCACTGACTGGCACTGTTAGGTGGCACTGACTGGCACTGTTAGGCGGCACTGATAGGCAGCACTAACGGGCACTGATAGGCGGCACTGATGCACACTGATAGGCGGCACTGACTGGCAGTGATAGGCGGCACAGGCTGGCACTGATAGGTGGCACTGATTGGCAGCACTGATAGGTGGCACTGACTGGCACTGATGGGTGACACTGAAAGGCAGCTCAGATGGGCACTGATATGTGGCATTGATGTGCACTGGTAGGCACTGGTATGCGGCATTGATGTGGCACTGATGAGCACTGTCAGGTGGCATGGATGAGCACTGACAGCTGGCATTGATGGACACTGACAGGTGCCACTGCTGGGGCTACACAGATCATCAGAGCACACTGATCCTCCGTGCACTGATGATTAGTGCACATGTCCCCTCTGAGGGATGCCGATTACCGGCTCTCCTCTCCTCTGTCAGCGTGACAGCTTGTGAGGAGAGAAATGCCGATAACTGACATTTCCCTATTTACATGCGATCAGCTATGATTGGCCACAGCTGATCACATGAACGAGCCAACATATTTGGCTCTTTCCATTGATCAGTGGTCTGCTGTGTCCGAGGGACACAGCTCATCGCCAATCGCTGCGCTGCGCGCTCCCAGAGCCACGCATGCGCAGTTAGAATGGGACGACGTCATATGACGTCCCCCCAGAACGAGAGAACCGCCTTGCGCCCATCATTAACCATTTGCCGCCCGCCCTATGGCCGAATGGCGGGCGGCAAATGTCATCAGCGTTCCGGGTGGACGCCATATGGCGTCCTCCCGCACATGCTCAGATTGCGCTCCTGCAGAGCGGCGTGATCTGTCACCGGCCGTGTACCTTGGACACGGGCAATGACAGATCTGAGTATCGGCCCCGTTGCCGGTACCATGTGACCTGCTGTGACCAATCACAGCAGGTCACATGACAGTTGTATACAATGGATGGCTTAATTCATGCCATTCATTGTATACTACTGCCTAGCTGTGAATGGTCACAGCTAATCACATGCACATGTCATGTGATTAGCTGTGGCCAAATCACAGCTAAGCACAAAAAAAAAAAAAAAAACCCTGAATGAATCGATGTCCTTCAGGTAAATGCTTGCTTATAGCAAAGTAATTCTTTGCCCGGTATTGAATTGGTTAAACTATATGGCGGGCGGGAAGCAGTTAATAAGAAATAAAGTAGGTGTTGTACTCACAACCGACAATAAAGTCAAGGCACGTCATAAAACAACAGCTATAGTAATGCTGTAAGCCTGCGAGCCCTCTGTTTGTTCTTTCCTCATTCATGTAATTTAAATCTGCCTCTGACTGGTGTGGGTAATGCCAGGGCATTGGGGTAAAATGTCTGTCACCCCATGTAGTGTGAATTGGCCCTGAATTTTGACAACAGATACACAGACAGATAAAACAAATTTGACAGGGGTTCTTTCCTTCCCCTATTCTACAGTTGTACTAAACAAAAGTATGTGTACCCTGTAGTAAATGTTTATTTGCCAAATAAATATTTCATATAAATAATATATAAAAATATGTAATCAGTTTACAAACATGTAAGAAAAAAATCTTCTTTCCTTTAAAATACAGAAACAAGAAATGAGCATTAAGGCTCCATGCACACTGGCAGCAGAAAAACGCTAAAAATAATGCTGCAAATACATGTGTAAACACGGTACTGTGTTTAGCCATGTTTAGGCCTTGGACATTTATTCACTTCATTGGCCAAAGTACTTGCCATCCAAATGAATAAATTCCCAAGCACTAAACACGGTTTACAAGCGTTTAACTCTTTTTGGCCAGCTGCTGTCTCCCAGGAGGATATGGCATCTCTCCAGTGCTCTAAATGCTATGCCAGTTCCAAACTATATGGTATAACCTGCTGATGTAGAGTTTACAACTTTGGCTTATTTTAGAAGAAGTGTTAGCCAGATTTGGACCTTTGTTCTGAGGAAACATGCATTCTGAGGTGTGTTACAATAACACATCAGGTGGTGTGCCATGAGTGCAGTAACACACCACAAGCCGTAAAGGTATGAATCTGGCCTTAATGTTGGTAGTCCTTGATTATGGCATTAAGTAATTTGTATTATTTTTTGTTGTTGCAGGAAGTGATTGGACTAGTCCACAGACAGTCAACTCCCTAGCACAGCCCCCCCGCACCCCTTGCCCATAGCCTGCTTCTTCTCTAGGAATGTCTAACTACTGTCTATGCTAGTCCAGCTCCTCCTCCCCTCCTCTCACCTCTTTGTTTAACCACCTCCCGCCCGCCATATAGTCCAATGATGGGAGCAAGGTGGTTCTCTTATTCTGGGAGGACGTCATATGACGTCCTCCCACTCTCACTGCGCATGCGCGACTCAGGGAGCACGCAGCGAGGGACACAGTGGATCACCGATCACGGAAAGAGCTGAAGATGTCGGCTCGGTCATGTGATCAGCTGTGTCCAAACACAGCTGATCACATGTAAACAGGGAAATGCTGGTCGGCATTTCTCACATCTCGAGCTGTCACGCTGACAGCTCGAGAGGAGAGGAGAGGCGGTAATCGGCTTTCCACGGACGGGACATCTACACTGATCATCAGGGCACTGATGATCAGTGTAGCCCCAGCAGTGCCACCTGTCAGTGTCCATCAGTGCCTTGTGTCACTGCTCATCAGTGCCTCGTGCCAGTGCCCATCAGTGCCACATCAATGCCACATATCAGTGCCTACCAGTGCACATCAATGCCGCATATCAGTGCCCATCTGAGCTGCCTTTCAGTGTCACCCATCAGTGCCAGTCAGAGCCACCTATCAATGCCAATCAGTGCCGCCTATCAGTGCGCATCAGTGCCGCCTATCAGTGCGCATCAGTGCCGCCTATCAGTGCCGTGTCAGAGCCGCCTATCAGTGCCAGTCAGTGCTGCCTAACAGTAGCTGCTGGGGGTAGCTCTAAGTCTGTTGGGGATGATAACATCACAACCAAGATGACAAAGCCCAGCAGTAGTCTTAAGGATTTCGGATGTCTACAAAAGGAAGGCCTTTACAGATAAATAACATGCATATAATACATTAAATGCACATAAATGTCTGCAACAGGGTCTCTTAAAGAGGTCGTAAAGGCTCAAGGTTTTTTACCTTCATGTATTCTATACATGCTCATCACTGTATTCTATACATGAAGGTAAAAAACTTTCTGTGTGCAGCAGTCCTCCCAGCCCCCCCTAATACTTAAGCCCCATCACAATTCAGAGATGTGCTTGAGAACCTTGGCTGTCCAGGGTCTCTACCTCCTCACTGACTGAGACAGCAGTGGGAGCTATTGGTTCCTGCTGCTGTCAATCACAGCCAGTGAGCAATGAGGAGACAGGGGGGGTGGGGCCGAGCCACAGCTCCGTGTGTTAATGGACACACGGAGCAGTGGCTCAGGAGCACGACTGCTCGGGTGCCCCCATTGCATGCTGCTTGCTATAGGGGCACCCAACGGGAAGGAGGAGCTTAAAGCGCCAGCGGGGGATCTGAGAAGAGGAGGATCCAGGTTGCTGTGTGCAAAACCACTGCACAGAGCAGGTAAGGATGACATGTTTGGTATTTTTTTTTAAGTATCGGTGTAAAGAATATGTAAACCCAACAATTCATATTCCTGATATGTACCTGCTACAATATGTATGTGTATGAAAAAGTATCCTGTTCTCTTTGTATTGCTCCTTTTTGTGAAATCCCTGGTTTCCCTGCCAGTCCCTGTGCTTTCCTATTAAAAACTGACTATACTAAGCAGGAAAACACAGCGTGGTCAGTTCTCTAGTTATGCTCGGATCTCAGTATGCTCATCTCCAGTGAACAGACTTGTCCTGACATGCCCCCGTCCTTCCTGCACATACTTTTACTGGAAAGGTCAGTGCGCTGCTGATTCTCCCCCAATCTCCCCAGATCTTATGCAGCTAAGAACAGTTGATCACTTATAAAAAAAAAAGGAAAAAAGTTATTTATAAGGGGTGTGTCTTTGGCTGACTCAGAGGATGGCTGTCTAGGGCAGCCTTTTTCAACCAGGGTGCCAAGACACCCTGGGGTGCCTTCACGTTTCTTCAGGAGTGCCTTGGCAAAATACCTGAAAATTGCCCAAAAATGTTATACAAGGCAGCAGGTGGATCAAGCCTGCAATATAGTTACAGAAAACCAAAGGTTTTCATTGCACACCATTCCAAGCTTCTATCTCCTAACAACCAATTATATCAAAGGGCACCTGAAAAGCTTCTTTGTTTGCCCCTCCCCTGCTCCTCTTCATCAGCACTGGGTCACACTAACTGAGTGAGGGAGAGAAACTGAGGGAGAAGAGAAACATTGGAATACTAGATTTCCCAATGTAAAACGTGTATTTGTTTGTAAGTATTAATCACTTCTAATGTTGGGTGTCCTATGTGTGTGAATGTAGCTGCATTATTTAACTATTAGTTTAGTTTTTTACATTTTAGAATGGGGTTCCTCAAAATTCTGCAGAATTTTAAAGGGTGCCTTGACTGAAAAAAAGATTGAGAAACTGGCTTACAGGAAACTGCTCTACTCGGTCCCCAGCACTACAGCGGCTATAACTTGGCTATCATGACTTGCCCAGTTTGGCGATCCTCCAGGGATCCTTCTGCACCATGTCCAAGCAGTTGAAGTTTGCTAAACAGCTGCAGAAGCTCACTGACTTGATTCCCTGCAGCAATTCCCAAGTGCAGACGGGATGGAGCTGGCTGCTCGCAGAGCTCCACGCTGCATCTCTTTGCTCATCCAGCAGCACTGGACACAAGTGGAGCTCATTTTCTTTACCACTGGCATTGGTGAGTCCTCTACACCCAATTCACCTACAACCTGCAGCCCGTCCAAATCTAGAGCAAGGAGAGAAGAACCTCCAGCTAGCTCACTTAATATGGCTCCTTTTGACTTTTCCACTGTCACAGCAAGCCCGCTGTAAGGAGATATATCTTTAAACTGGCATCCATTTTGTATAATGCCTCCATTTCTAGATATGTAAGTAATTAGTTTTGTTTCCTAGTTTCATTTCTCAATTGTACTCTCATTTCTCTGTAAACAGATTTACCTTATATGGTCTCCCTCAGCCATTTGTAGTTTCTGTTCTTCATGTATCTATATTGATAAGAGTATAATGTTTCATTGGTTTTCCTGACTTGGAAACACCTGTTGTGTTCTGTATAGCATCTCTTGTTGTTTATTAAACTTTTAGAAATACTGCTTTTACACTTTGGTGTCTGGAGCGTTATTTCTCTCGGATCCAGTGGTAGAGATAAGTGAGGACAGGTCAAGCTACAGACAGAAATTGATCCTATCAATTTGGTGTCAGAAGTGGAATAAAGGCATGGACGATCAGGTAAGCTGAACAATAAGTCTTAGACTTTACCTTGATCATACCCTTTTGAAATTTGGGTATATAGTAGCCAAATTAACTGGTTGAGACTGTTGAGTCTCACAGGGATTGTTTGAGGTTTGGAACCTCAAAGGAAATTGTCAGAGGTTTGGAACCTCTGGAGAAAAACTGCCTAGGCAGGAATAATAATATTGTGAATTCACAGGAGTCCTCATTTATCTTTGCCATTTTAGAAGTATAGGTGCTTATTGGCTGCATGTTAAGAAACTGTTATGTAGAATATTTGTGTTGCTGGAAAAGTAACAGAATAAGGTTATTGCAGTGTCTGTGCTAGTCAGTACTGCCGTCTGTGTTTAAGTGTTAAACTCCTGAACTGTTGAGAGATTTTGTCAGCACTCTATGTGAATTTAGTACAGCCTCTCCGGTGCAGAGAATAAGTGCTGACACCGTAATAATTAGTGCTTTGCCTAACAGCTGTTTTGCTTCCAGATGGGTATAGTTCATGGTAAGGGATGGAATAATTGATGGAATTTTGGGATATCACATGGACTTAGGGTTTGACTGGACAAAGGTGACTACCATAAGTACTCTAGTTGATCCTGGAACCCCAGCATCCACTCATGCAGGGTTGAAGGAAGACACTCAGACAAAGGTGTGGGAGGAGGTGACAGCCTAGATGGAGCGAATATGGAAGGGTAGAAAACTTTTAGCAACTGCTGTAGCTTGTAAACAAGGACCAAAAGGATACAGTGCTAGAGTTTGCAAAGTGATTTAGAAAAGTCTTGAAGGAAAAGGCTGGGATGGAAATGAATAGTGCAGAAATTAGCACTATATACTGTATATTCAAACAATGACGGCAGGATTCAGACCTGAAATCTCGCTGTTAATAAGACAGCTTATTTCAAACTGGACAGAGATGGACACAAGTACAATTGAAAAACGAGTGTTGGAGAAGGACACCGCTGGATATTTTGAGGTCTCCAAATCTACCAACAAAGCACACTTTCAGGGGTTACAACATAATTACAATCCTAGAAAAAGAGGTAGCAACAAAAATAAGGGAAGAGGAGGATAGAAAGCATTGTCCAAGATGTGCCCTCGTTGATTACCTCCATTCCACATGATACACAGTGTTTTACTGTGATCGAGTTAAGCAATGCTTTTTATTCTGTCCTACTTGATGAAGAGATACAACTACTGTTAAGTTTCACTCTTGCTGGCAAACAGTTAACCTGGGCAGATTGCCCCAAGACTATGTGGATTCTCCAGCTGTATATTCCATGGCCCTCTGAGAATTCTTAAAGGGTTGGGCAACCCACCATAGTTCCACGTTGCTCCAGTATGTGGATGACTTATTACTTTGTTCATCCAACAGGGAGGCTTGTAGGCAGGACAGTATATCTCTGTTAGATTTTCTGAGTACAGAGGGACACAAGGTGGCAAGGCACAATATTGTTAAACTAAGGTAGATTATTTGGGTTTCACTCTGTCACAAGGCACCGGAATGGTCAGCCGGTTGAGGATCCAAGCCATTATGGGTTTGAACCGCCTAACAACTTAAAAGGAGATGCTCTTCTTCCTTGGTATGGTTAACTATTGTCACCAATGGATACCTGACTGCTCCCATTATGACAACATACTCAGGGAGCACACTAAAACTGAGGCTCCAGACCTCATTAAGTGGGACCAAGAATCCACCAATGCCTACCAAACCTTGAAATCCTCACTAGTTTCCTCTCCTGCTCTGGGTTTAGCAAATTACAATGTTGATTTTCATGTGTATACTCGTGACAATTGTAAAACCATGGCAGCTGTGGTTGCTCAGGATTATGGAGTACACATAAGGCCAGTAGCCTATTTTTCAAAAGTAGTACCAAGTCCGATACAGGGAATGCAGCCATGTCAGAACCCTGGCCATCTGTGCCATGGCGGTGCAGAACTCAATGAGTGTGACTCTGGGACGTTAAACCATTCTTCATGCTACTCATCATGTACTGCGTGTATGTATATGTGTGTGTACATGTGTCTGTGTGTGTGTGCATGTATGCATGTACATGTGTGTATGTGTTTGTGTATGTACGTACATGTGTCTGTGTGTACATGTGTCTGTGTATGTATGTACATGGGTCTGTGTATGTATGTATGTACATGTGTATGTGCCTGTGTATTTCTGTGTATGTACATGTGTCTGTGTGTATGTGTGTCTGTACGTGCCTGTGTGTGTATACATGTGTCTGTATATGTGTGTGTACATGTGTCTCTGTGCGTGTGTGTACATGTTTCTGTATGTGTGTGTGTGTATGTTACATGTCTGTGTGTGTGTACAGGTGTCTCTGTTGGTAGTGTTTTTTGGTGGCGAGTAACTCTTAAGGCCTGGCTAGTAGCTCAGGACTTGAAATTTTAAGCCCTGTCTTAGACTTACCTATTCTACTGGAACATTCTCTTCTTAAGGGACTGCAATATACAGCAAATTAAGAGCATGTAAAATAAAAAGGGTTGACATAAGATGCAAATGGTCTAATGTCAAAGGGAGGTATAATAGGACTCATGTCACAGTGCTTCTCTTATTATAGCACAGTTTCATGGCACA